TCTTAAATCATTTATAATTCGTTAAAACACGTTTATAACCCACCATTTATGTTTTAAAAAACAGTTTCACTACTTGCTTCAAAACATCGGAATAGTAATAAAAAATAAAAATTAAATCGTTTATAGATAATCATGAATCTTTGCTATAAAAACGAAAAATATTTACAAAACTCATCAAGACATGTAGGGTTTAGGAATACTTGGTCTTTTTAGAATCGGAGACTATGAGTCGAGCCTACGATTATTTTTTGTGTTCGGGTTCGGGTCCGGGTCTGGGTTTAATCCGTCTTTTTTTTCGCAACTTTAGCAATAGCATGAAAGGATTTTTTGTGTTCTCACCGATTAAAAACAAGAGATTGGGTAAATGTTTATGGTAAATAAAACGATTTTTAGCCGACTTTAACGCCTAACGTAAATATATTATTCTATACTTTTTTTATGATGTTAAACTTCCAAATAAAAATGACATTTAAAAATTTTGCGTTAAAATTTACAAACATAATTTATATTAAAATTCATATAAATGTTTTAGCGAAAATAAACTCAACTAAATTAAAATACTTATAAGTGTTTAATACATATTAGAGCAATTATTTTTTACTTAAAAAATAAAAATTTAAAAAAGCCAAAAGGACTCAATGAATTTTCAAATAATCTGAAAAGAGTTCTTGTATTAACTTCTGTTCAAGAACAAATTCTTACACAGAAGGTAGACGCTAGACGCTATAGAAAATGTTAATTTAGAATTTGCTGGTGTTAGTTTTATCTTCGTTAACGTTTAATACAATTTTTCTAAGTATTCAGTTCTTTTTTAGTTTTTAAGATCAGCAAATTTATCTTTGTAACTCGGCAAAATTGGACATTTCGCACTTTCTAATATTTTGTTTAGTTCTTCTTACAGTGTTAACACTATTTTTATTATTTTCACCTGAATGTTTATAATGTGTGTTTTGCTACTCTTTATCCCCATCTAATAATCTCTTAAGTAAATCTGTTGTAAACGTTTGTTTTCCTAACACGGCATAGTACCATTTACAAAAAAAACTAACAACTCTTCTAATTATTGTTTTTTACGGCTATTTATTTGAGTGATTATCATTATGAGTAGCTAAGTACTTAAATTACCATTGGATTCCTTTAGTTTATTTAACATAAAATCAATTGCTTATCGGGTTGTTGCAAGATAAGCATCGTCTCTCCTAACGGCTAATACAAAACTGTTAATTTAATAGGTTTAAGCGTTTTTTTCAATTCATGTAGTAATTCACTAATTACAGTTTCTGTTAAATGAACACTGTAATGTTAAATGTAATATCTTGAAGAGCTTCTTTAATGATATCATATAACTTTAAAAATCTTGTTATGATATGGCGTAGCCCATCCCATTTTGACTCTCATGAACAAATTTTAATTTGCGAATTTTTATCTAATATTTCCACGGTATCGTTTTCCTAGTGAAAATTATTATTTTTGATGACTATTTATATTCGCGCCACTTAAAGTTTAACATTTTTTTGAGCTTTTGAGGGCATTTTCAAACAATAAATAATATAAACTTACAAATCATTAACTATATAACAACGTCATTACAATTAATGAAAGGTTTTTTATTAATAACGGTTGTGTCCATTTGTATTATTATTACTTTTTATTATTTATATTTATTAATCACTCACTGCATACAATACAAAGTAAATTATTATAAAGTTACATTTTTGAAAAGAAATAAGTTTATCTTGGAATATTTACTTCAAGAATATCTTTGAAGATTTTCCTTTGCTCCAATGAGTTCCAGAACTCATTTGCTTAGGTTAACCTTTGAAGATCTTTTTTAGGAATTATAATTTTTAACACAATAAATTTTGTTTTTTTATTTATGTTTTGCATTAAGTACTCTAAATTTAATTCACTTTGATTGCATAAACCAATGACACCATCTAAAAAAAGGTGCTTAGAGGTTTGTTTTTTAAACTGCGAAATTACAATACCAAAGGTTGTTTTTTTGCACAATATGCAAATAAATAAGTTTAACTTGTTTTGCTGTACGATTGTTGATACATCTTGGATGTAGCACAAAGAATGAGTATAATTTTTGTCGTGTTTGGAAAGATTGAATAGTGAATTTAGTGTATTCGTTCCTATTTAATACACTCTGTATACATGAATATGTCCTTATAATTGCAAAGTTCAATACTATAAGTAAGTACCGAATCCGCCAAAAATTTTATATAGCTGGACAATAGAGCTTGTATGAGCAAAGTGGATTCCAGACTAAATAAGAGTTTGAGCTATTGCCCTGAATTTTGGTATTCTATTATCAATGTTTTAAAGAATAAGTGAGGCAAAAAATGAGCTTTTAGTATCCTAAATAAAACCTAGAAGATTAAGTTTATCATCCAGTTTTATTTGTTGGTGGTCGACTGTTATCATGCAGTTTAAAATTTGTTTTTTTCCGGTGACAAGAACTTGGTTATAGCATTTAACTTTATACAATTTGCGTTATATTATTAGCTATTATTTAATTCCAGACACGGTAGAACTAAGAAGTATGATGTTGTCAGCGTATGCTACAACAATTATAAACGTGAGGAGATAGAATCAACCCTGGTCTCACTCCTTGTATTAGATAAAATGGATATGATTTGCTTCCTAGATAAGTGACAGAAGTACTGCTTTTATGTTACAATGACAATATAGTACTAATAATATAAAGCGGAAATTTTTTATTGTCGTATAGTTTCTAAAATAGAATGCCCCTTCTACAGCTGTCAAATACTTTTTCAGCATCTAAGGAACGAAGATAGACAGGTGAGTCGTGGTTGTTTTAATGTTTTATTGTTTCAATTATAACAAATTCAGCATGTAAGATTGACCTGTTTTTTGTAAAACCGAATTGAAGAGGATGAGTTTCTTTTATCTCTTGACAGATTATTAAAATAATATATTCGATTATTTTTTTAAAGATTGGAATGATACTAATACCACAGTAGTTATTCAGATAAGTTAATGATTTTTTATAAAATTTAGCAAAAGGTATATTAAGTAATGCAAAAATTGATTTTGGGGCCTCACCGTGATTATTAATAAATTTAAAGAATTTACTTCGCTACTCTATTAGGGCTTTGCAACGTGCCTGTTGTAAATGTTCTGCAGAGATTCCAAACGCATCTTTGGTCTTTTTTAATTTTAGGCGAGAGATAATGTTTTCATTTGATATTATTACCATATCAAGTTTGGTACAAGGTGGAGCTTAGTATTTATTTATCTAAAAACAGAAAAACTGTGAAAAAACCGAATTTTTTTTATATTCACAAAGATAATTGACTTAAAAAACTTAGATAAGTTAACTCAGAAATCTGACCAATACAAAGTTTGGAAGGCCAGTCGGAGGAAAATTACTCTAACTAAATAACTAATTAGGTTGAAGGGTTTTCTCGAATATGAAATAAAACAACCTGTGTGACAAGTATCATTAGTTCAATGTGTGACAATTATCAATAATGTTATTTCCTTACAAGTAAATAGTTTATACAATTGTTTCCTTTTAAGGAAAGAACTGTTCAAGAATTATTTCCTTGTAATTTAATATTACTTTAATTAAATCAGTAATTTATTCCTTTATTTTAATAGTTTTTAATTAATAATATGTGTTACTATGTTAAGTAGATTGTTATCAAATATAAAATTAGGTGAAATTTTGTAAATAGCAGAATTTGATTTAATCAAATTTAGTGAATTGCCACGATGCCAAATCAAGCAAAGAATCATGATGAAAATCAAAATTTTGTGTGCTTGTTCTGTCTGAAAAAATTTTTAAGACAGCTTAAGTAAGTTTAAATGTTTAAGTAAGTTTAAATGTTTAAGACAGCTTAAGTACTTAAAGTAAGCTTACTACTTTTCAAGCAGATCGAATATGCCAACTGTACAAGACCAAGATCAATATCAGTGATACTCGGGCACCGAAAAGATTTTGCGAATTGTGTAGAATTACTTTGCTCAAGAAACAAGAGGGGAAAGAAGTTGCACTGCCTCCTTTGTTTTAAGTCAATACAAATGAGACCTAAAACAAGAGGCACAATGTGTTGATGTCTAAAATGCCGCATTGGTCGTTCAAAGCTGCAATAAAAATATCCTCTTATTGAGCAAATAACTATTGAGATAAAACCAAAGGTGCATTGCAGCAAATGCATCAGCCCTTTAGGAAAAGGTTTGCCCCACCAATGCTCTCAAATAATGTTAAGGGAAAACATTTAATCTTTAGCAGCAAAAGATGCCAAATCATCAAAACAAATCGCATCTCGAGTTATTTTCTATAAAGAATTATCTCCGGAAGGAACTATTCTACTGGATTAAAGCATCCAGCGGGCCTCCACCTACAGTTACCCCTGGTAAATATTTATACTTAAATAATTTTAACATATATATTGAAATAAAGTCTTGGCTATTAAGAAATAACACTAGAAAGATTTCAAGAAGTAGATTTTTGACAAGTTTCTTATTTCTTTAAAAACGAATAATTTGAAAGATTTACACAAACTTACTAAACAAAGTTTATTGTAACTATAAAATATATATGTTTTGGTTTTAGGTTAAAGTAGTGCGCAGATACCATCAAGCGCTCCAAAATCGACTACTGTAGCCCTTGTAAATGTGCAATTAATTGATGGTAGAGCAAAATTTCTACATGAATTTTTTAAGACTAGGTCAACAATTGAGCAATTTCTTCACCTGCAGCGACTTAAAAATCACAGACGAAAAAACAGATTCTTGTACAGTTCATGTTGTT